GCGCCCGCCCGCGTGCGCTCTGCGGTTGCCCCGCTTCCGCCCGCACGCCCGGCTCGCGCGGTTGTCGTGGAGAGGGACGCGAAAGCGACGCCACTACGGACCGCCTGGCCGGTGGACGCGGAATACAGACCCCTGATTCGGCCACCACCTGCAGAATCATCACCCGTCCTGCCTCCTCGCCCCCGTGAGGTCCCCGGAGTCGCTGCACCCACATGTCGGGCGAGACGAGCGCGCCGGGGGCCTCGCCCAGGGCTCCGCGCCCCGGGACCCAGAAGTCGTCCAGCGCAGTGACCAAGAAGGGGGATCGCGGGGCCAAGGAGAAGCCGGCGACCGTCCTGCCGCCGGTGGGCGAAGAGGAGCCCAAAAACCCCGGTAGGCTGGCGGCGGGGTTGGGGGATCGGGCCCTGAAGCTGCCGCTGCGTGCGCTGCCACCAGCCACTCGCGGATTAGCCGGGCTGGACGGGCCGGCGTCGCTGTGCCAGGCCCCGGCCTGGACGCGCCGAGGGGCGCCCTGTGGGCGGGACGGACGAGCCGGCAGAACCTCTGGTGCTGAGCGGGCTGCGCGGGATCCGGCTCGCGGCTGCAGGTCGTTGAGTGTAGCTGGCCCCGCACGTGCTACGAGTGTTGCAGGTGGCGACCAGGCCGGGTGCGCGGCTGCCGAGTTCTCCCGCAGGCCCGCCCGCCTCCCGCGGCGAGGGACAGCGGAGTTGCTGGCGTTTTCTAAGCTGCGGGGTCACTTGTTGGTCCCACAGCATTCGTGGTGCACCCCCCGGTGTGGGCGCTCCCGGCTCCCCCCGGGATATGAATCCCAGCTGGATCCCCACCCCGCTTCCGGCCCCGCAGCGCGGCAGCTGTGGGAACTGAGCTGAGCTTGGAGAGCTCACTCTTTGGTTTGGGATGGTGACACATGAGCTGTATGAGAGAAGGATCAGGGGGTGATGGGAGGACACGGGGCGCGGGTCGCGCTCTCTCTCTCTCTCTCACACACACACACACACACAGCACTCCACTGTATGGAAAATGGGGTGGAAGAGGGAGTGGAGGTGGGGGACAGTCATGGGACCCGTGGGCAGTCTGGGTGGGGGGCCATGGCAGCTGGAGTGGGTGGGGGGGCGGAGAACGGGCCAGGCTCCTTGGAGTACTCCGCTTGTGAAGCAGTAGGTGGGCTCAGGAGGTGGGGCACAGCCGGAGTGAGCCCCAGCTCTGTAGCCTGGGCACTGGGCGGGTCGGGGTGCCTCATGGAGATGCGAAAGCCTGGAGGAGTCGTCAGGGAGCTGCTGGGGGCTGACTGCAGCTGGGCAGCCGGACACAGGTCAGGGCTGAGGACGGCACTTGGGAGCAGCCGAGGTCTGGGTGTGCGTGAGCCCCCAATGAAGGCGATTTCCCTGGGAGGCAGGGCTATCACCACAGAGGAGAGGGCTCAGGGGTCTCCGAGGAGGAGCTGGCAGCGAAGGCCTTGCCACCCTTAGGTCACCGCGGCTTCGGCAAGTGCCACTGTGAGCTGCGGTGGGGTGGATGCGGAGCCCACATGGGGTGCAGTGTGATGGTGGACATGGGAAGCAGTACCAATTCAGAGGAAATGCCTTTTGGTGGCTTCTGTGTCTCAGGAAGCTGAGTCGGGGTCACTGGTGAGCGAGGGGAGTGGGTGCGGGGACGGAGCATGGCAGCCGAAGCACAGACAGAACGCGATCAATGTCACCTTAAGTCTATTGGGCAGTGCTTGCGGGGGGCGGGGGAGCATCGTCAGTGAGTTGCAGGTGCAGACGCGGACTGCGGGCAGCCTTTGCCATCGGCGTCTCTGCGGACGGCCCAGGGGAGTGCTCTCACCGGCCCTCCCCGTGTGCTAGAACCTACTGTAGGGACAGGCCGGGAGTGAAGTGAGGGAGGGCGCGGGCTCTCCCAGCAGAGGGGACAGACAGCCCGGAGAGCAGGTGGCGTGCCACGGTCAGCCCGACAAGGGGCCCCCGCGCCCGTGGCCCCTCTCACCGCCCCATCCATCAGCCAACATTCGTGTGTGTTTGTGTCCCCCATCCCCCTCCAGCGCCACGAGGGCCACCACCAGGGACCCCAGCACTGCGACGCCAATCACTTTTCCACAGGAACCCTCGAACCTCTCTGCCCCGTGCCCCCACACTTGCTGAGCATATGCCCCCAGTCCCTCCACACGCCGGCAGGCTCCTGCTGTTAGCTGGGAGAGTTCTCTCTGGGTACAGCCCAGGGCCGGGGTGCTGTAGCCGTGGGGGCCCCAGGCCACCGCACTTACAAGAGCGGGCTGGCACCTGCAGGCTCTCCCACTGGCCAGGGACACCCTTCACACCTTCAGGCCCCACTTCCTCCTGGATCCCTGGGGGAGCAGGAAAAAGCCGGGTCTCCGGGGACTCGGCCCGGAGGTGTGCGGAGCCCGAGGAGGGGAGGTGGTGGGCGTCCGTCTGTGCCCGCGGGAGTTAGCCAGGGGAGCAGGGCGGGCGGGACTGAGCCTGTGCAAGGGCCAGCTGGGCGCTCACAGCGCGCCCTGCCAGCGGGGCGGGGCTCCAGGGTCCTTCCGCTGTCATCGGGCCTGGGACTTTTTTCTCCGCGTGCCCCTGGGCAGCCCCAGCAAGGACGGGCCTTGGGAGGAGGCTGGGCTGGGGACGCCCTGTGGGAGGCGCCCGCCCATCGCAGGCCTTCTAGTTCCTTATCCCGGGTTTTGATTTCCCACTATTTCTGGTGTTTTCAGCATGGTCTTTACCACGCATCTTACATTTCAAAATGTCTGTAAGGCCGTCCGCCTCGGAGGGAGGCCTGCCCGCCCCGAGGTCCGAGGCCCGGCCCCGGGCGGCGGCCGCCTCGCGTCCAACCGCCCCCTCCCGCCCGCAGAGGAGTACCAGTGCACCGGGGTCCTGGAGGCCGACTTCGCCGAGCTCTGCGCACGGTCGGGGTACGTCGACTTCCCCAAAGTCGTCAACCGGCCGCGCCCGCACCCCACCTTCGTCCCCTCCGCCTCTTTGTCGGAAAAGCCCGTCCTAGGTGAGTGGCAGTGGAGCTCCGGGGTGCCCGCCAGAGCCACCTCGTCCATCCCCAGTCTCCCATGGCACGGGGCCGAATGGCGGGGCGCAGGGCAGGGTGGGTGTAGGTGAGGGGGTGGCTCCAGGGGGCGGGCGGGGAGGTGGGGAGTCTCCGTCTTCCCTGCCTAGCAGCGCCCCAGCCAGCATCTCCCACACTCACCGAGCCCCCTCCCCACCCCCGCCTCCGAGGGAGCCGACCCCTCCCTCCTCACCCCGTCTCCTCGCACCCCTGCCTGCTAGACGACCAGCGGCTGTCGGGGTCTTGCAGCCTCAACAGCATGGAGAGCAAATACGTGTTCTTCCGGCCCACCATCCAGGTGGAGCTGGAGCCCGAGGACAAGTCGGTGAAGGAGATCTACATCCGTGGTGGGCCCCGCCTTGCCCCTCCCCGGCCCCGCCCACGCCCCGGTCCGCCACGCCCCCGCCTGGCCCATGCCACGCCCCCGCTTGGCCTCGCGGCCCGCGCCACCTCCCCGCCTCGGCCTCCCGGAGGCCTGAGGACTTTCTCCTCCTTCCTCAGGCTGGAAGGTTGAGGAGCGGACCCTGGGCATTTTCTCTAAATGCCTGCCTCCCCTCAGCCAGCTGCAGGCCATCAAGTGAGGGGCTGTGTGCGGAGGGGGGGGCGGCGAGGGAAAAAGGACTGGAGGAGCGGGAACACCCTGGACAGGTGGGAGGGTGAGGACAGTGCGGGAAGGTGACGGAGGCTTCACCTATGTTCCTGCACCTTCCTCCACCTACAGCTTCTGGAAGGTCGGGCTGACTGACAAGACCCTGGACATCTTCATCGCCCTCCTACCGCTCTGCTCATCCACACTCAGGTGAGCAGAGGGGAACAGCAGGTGGGGAGGCCCCCGTGCCTGGGAGCTGGGCTGGGTGGCTGGTCAGGGCAGCAGTGCAGCCGGCGGGGGCTAGCAGCGCTGTGGAAACCTCGGTCGGGTTTTCAGGCTCCCATCTGACAAGACGCGGAGTCCCTTCTGCCGAGGGTGGTGCCCAAGGAGCCTGTGGGGCCTCCCCACCTCCTCCCCCTCAGCCCCACCTCCATTCGCTCTCCCCAAGGTTCTTCTCTGCCCCTCTGTTCCTC